TAGTTTTAACAATCTCCAAATGAGTCTGACCTTATTTGGCTCAACCTAAAGATACATAGTATTTTTCCTTATTCATAATTGATTTTTAAAAACGGCTAACTCAATATTACATCCAGAAAAATAAACCATTATAATTTTTTATATACTAAACCGTAACCAAACTGAACCGTTATAAATGTTCGGGTCCCTGCTTAAATGTTCAACGAAATGCCATATTGCATTGAATAATTGTTGCAATAATTCGGATTTTTTATAAGTATATTTTTTTTAACCTCATCCCTTTTCATTCATTATATACCTTAATTTTATACTATTTACTTTTTTTAAATTCTCTTTTTAAATCCCTTACTTTGGCCTTTTAATTATATGGTGCCAGCCGCAAAAAAAAGAGAAGAAAAAGTAATTATATTATTTTATTTTTTATTCATGGGGATTCGTATTTAAAAAAAAATATTAAAAAAAAAGATCCCGAATAAAACTTGGGGATTAAAGATCTTGAATCCCCATGTTGGGATTCCGAATCCCACATGATTCCATATCTCAATACGACATATATATTATTATTTCTCTTTAAATTATTTGGGAATTTGTTTCCAGCTTACATGTAATTTTTTTTACCCCACCAATCAATATGTATCTAACAACTTAATATAACTATTTCTAACAGGGTTTAAATTGTAATAACATATTACCCCCTCCTTTAATCGTATTGTAAATACATATTTGCTATTAGAAACTTATATTTATACAATATTATAATAATATAATATTGTAACTGGCGTATAGCTAGGACTTGCAAAAGGAGTAATAAAGTAATTAGATTTCTGTGTATTTTATTATATACACTTTTAAACCGTTCTGCCAAGATATAAAAAAATATTCAATTTAAGGTTAACGAGAATTTTTATATATTCTTCCCAGCGACACCAGCCATTTATAATTCGAACCTAATAATCTTGCTGTTTCGTAACCTCGAATTTTTTCGATTTTATACCATATGTAAACATTGAACAAACACATTATGAATAGGCTCGAGGATAAGACATAAAAAAACGCCATTATGCGTTTTTCTTCCGCTCCATAAACTAGTATTTAAAAATATTTATGATATTGGGTAGAATTAATATTTAAATATATGTATTACATTTCTATAAAATATATAAATTATCTCTTCTATTATATATATATATATATAATAAGATAGTATTTAAAAAACGACGATTAGAAGATAAATACCTAAGTTATCTCAGCAGGATTTGGTGAACAATAAATAGAATTGTATTGGGTCATGGAATCCATGGGGATTTTGAAATCCCTCAATTCTAAATCACCAATCGCCGAGTGTGATCTTAAAATACATTTACCTGGAAATGTATTCCAGCTGTAGAGTACCTACTACTACTACTACTACTACTACCCTATGAAATTTAGATAATTTTCGCCATAAACATCTGTTGCCCCTTTTTTTAAAATATATAAAATATTTTTTAACCTATAAATTAAACGTTGTTCTAAAGTTCAAGGACAAAATTGTTTGAAATCTACAGTGCGGGTACTCTATTCATACTGAAATACATTTCCGGTCTAATCAGATTTTTAAAAAATTAAAAAAATTGTTTCTCAGGGAATGATGCATATTCCATAATCCCAATTACGACATATATATTTTTAAAATATAGCTGCATGATTTGACCTTTAAACTCTTTATTAAAAAAAATGATAAAATTAATTTTATCTGATTTTTCGAATAATTCGGTAATAGCACACCTAACACGCATTTAGGCAAATTGATCCAGACATTGTCCGCATTACAAATCGTACTCTTGCAACCTTCGAGCCTATAAAATATATGACAATAGAACTTTGCTTCGTGTTCGTGCCCATGATCCCTCAGCATAATATATCCATGTTCAAGGTTTGGAGGATCACATTTAGTATCTTCTTAACATACATTTAAAAAAAAAATGATGATGTATTGGAAGAAGAACATCAAAATTGTAATATTTAGTATTATAATATTGTAGCAAAACTCTTCCGTGGAATTATTTAACGACTAGTGCATTTATAATCGGCCATGTTCATGTTTGTTTGACTAGTTATCATAAAAGATAAAAATTTTTACCTTTTCAATATTAAAATAACTTCTTCAATCTTTGGATTATAAAGAAATTAAGCTTGGTTGTGGTTTCATTCAATTCATCAATTGCATAAACTGCAGCCTCTTAGTACAGGCTAAAGGAAGACATGTACTAGAATGCATCAAACAAAGTAAGAAACCTTTAATTTTAAATCAATAAATTAATAATACCAGCTCGCATTGCCAACTATTGAAAACTCCGCAACCTATCAAATGATGATGGTTCACATGAAAAGTTTACTTTTCCATTGGCTATGATCAAATTGCATAATTTGGGATTATACAAGCATTTCAGTTTTCTCAATAAATATTAATAGCGAACCTAAATCCCCTAGCATAGTCAAAAATTAACAAATATAAAAAGATTCGCGACTCTATATTCTCCATTTGCAACTTCTACCAGTGAACAGTTTGCCTCTATTATGTTATCCTTTTTAAAATATTTTAACTCATAAGATAAATATACAAACACTTGAATTTAGGGAATTCTTATTCTTAAGGCAGAATATACACAAATTTTTAAATTTGTTCCCTTTTAGAAACACATTTCTTAGCAAAATCTTTTTTTCTTTTAATTAGTTTTTGGTTCAAAATATCTTTTTCATTTAAAAGACTTCCAATAATAATAAAAAATTATTTTTTTTAGATCATCCCAGGTATTTAGCTATGAATAAGAGATCCAATAATATTTAATATTTTCATATAGCTATGGATATTGGTTGCTTATCAAGATCAATGGGATTTACCAGTTTTTGATGATATATTACAGCCTAAAAATTTTTAAATAATTTTGTAGTTTCGAGACCAAAATTCTCTAATATGGTTCATTTAAAAAAAAAATACATTATTTTTTTAAATCAATAATTATTTTTATTCTAAAATATTTAATTTTAGTTTATTTTTTTTATACAATTTCATCTATTAATAGATATATTATTATCACTCCAAAAACCAAACAAGGACATTCGGCCCATCGCCATTGGTTCAACATACCGTAGATTGGTCGCTAAATTAATCGCATCTATGATCAAACACGATGCCGCACACATTCTAAGCCCCTACCAACTTGGTGTAGGGATACCTGGTGGGTGTGAAGCTGCTGTGCACTTAACAAGAATTCACCTTGAAAATAACCCAAAAAACGAATCCCTAGTAAAAAATTGACTTCTCTAACGCCCACAACACTCTTTCGCGCAACACGTTCCTACCTTCAACTTGCTTCCATTTCCCCGCTTACACCAAATTTCTTTTCTCTTGCTACCAATCACCAACAATCTTACAATTCAACAAAGAAAAGATACTTTCTGTCGAGGGTATCCAACAGGGTGACCCTCTCGGATCCCTTCTCTTTAGTCTTGGAATCAATGACATGATAAAATCAATAAACTCCTCATGTACTCTATCGCTCCACGCTTGTATATTGATGATGGAATCTTGAGTGGTCCCTGTAGTGAAATTACCAAAGCAGTCAACATAATTAAAGAAATTGGCACAGCCATTGGACTTTCGCTTAACCAGAGCAAATCTGAATTCTCACATTTAAATTCTAATGCTCCCAACACTCACGATTTCAAATTCACATCAAGCGTTGAATTAACACATCTAGGATCGCCTGTAGGAGGACACGAGGCAATAAGCACCTTTCTTCATTCCACACTTGACATACACCTTAAACTGGAGGACATCTTTACACTTCTTCCATCACACAAGTCCTTTTTTTTGCTAAAAAATTTCTTTTTTATACCAAGGATTATTTACGCACTTCGGTCAACCCAATTTTTAAATATCCTATTCCTCTCCAAACTTACGAAAAAGGAATAAAGGACTTAACCGAAAAAATAGTAAATATCAGATTCAACGAAACTGCTTGGGCCCAAGCAACTCTTCCAACCAAATTTGGTGGTCTCGGCATCAGATCCCCACATGACTTAGCAATAACTACTTTCATATCGAGTAGTCTCTTGACAAAGCCAATAACCACCGCCCATAATTCTAAAGAAGACCTTTCCTTAATCGTGGCTATGGATATTTGGAAAACAAGGATCAATGCTGATTCTCATCCCCCCACAACCCATAGACAGAAAGACTGGGATGCACCTGTGGTTGCTCGCTGCGTTGAAACTCTCTTATCTAGCATGCAATCTACTGACCGCACCCTATTCTCTTCCCTGCTCAATGGTACGGGACATGAGTTTCTTGAGGCCATCCCATCTACCAATCTTCAGCTTCAACTATCCAACAATGAATTTACCCACGCCATCGGCATTCGTCTAAGTTGTTCCATCACTCACCCTCACATCTGCTCAGGATGCAACTCGCCAGTTGACTCGAAGGGTAGACATAGTTTACATTGTCGCTTCTGTAATGGACGATTCATCAGACACAAGCAATGTAATACAATCATCCAACATGCTCTGAAATCCGCCCAAATTCCTTCCACTTTAGAACCACAGGGTCTTTTTAGATCTGACGGTAAACGTCCTGACGGGATCTCTCAAATCCCATGGAGGAGAGGCCAACTTTTGGTATGGGACTATTCCTGTATTGACCCCTTGGCCCCATCCAACCACGCCATCAACATCCTTGACCAGAAGGAACAACTAAAAACGTCTAAATACACAGAAATAATGAACGATCATTGCTTCATCCCAATCATATCAACCACTCTTGGCACCTTCGGCAAACTCGCCTTAGCATTTTTCAAAAACTTAGGATCACAAATCAGCAAACTCTCAGAAGAACCTCGAGAGGTTTTTTTTCTTCGTCAACGACTATCCATAGCGATTCTCAAAGCTAATTATATCAGTTTCAATGGTAGTCTTCTAGCCAAAGAGCTATCCTAAACAACACTTACGTCCCTTTTTCATTTTTGTTTCCCTGCGCCACACCAACTCCGTTCTTTTTTTTAAAATAGTATTATTATATATTATAATAATATATTTTTGTTTTATAAAAAATTGATTTCTTTGTTTATTTGGATGATGAAAAATAAAGGTTGTTTCTTAATAAAAAAAAAATCAATTAAACAAAATGTTACAACTTTTTTTGAAAAAAATGCTAAAATTAGCCGATTATGCCGCACTAGGTAACCGATTCAAAGAGGTTATATACCTAAACTAGGAATAGCGCGTATTCTAGAGCTTTCCGTATTGATTTGAAGATTTTTATTTTCATCGTAGAACTTATTACTGATTACGCAGGCGTAGTCGCCGTATTGATACGAGCTGAATTCATTAATCACCAACTTTTTCTGCATCGATATCTTTGCGAAGCCGGATGTATGATGTATCCAAGCCACCTAATTAAAAAAAATAAATTGATCCCTTTTAGAATAAAATTTATTTTCAATATGTAATTATATCATTTAGGGAGAGGCATATTTTTTTTTATAATAGATAAATCTTAGGAGAATAAAATAGTGTAGATGTGAAAGCATTGATAGTTTTTGTAGATGTTATTCGAGACTGGAGAATTCCAAATTAGTCTTTTATTTCAGATTAACTTATCCATATATATATATTCATTAGAAAAACCTTTAAAGATTTGAAATAAAGGCAATAACCGATTCAAATCATCAAAATTTATCAACACAATGTGGCAGCCAATGTAAAATAAAAAGGATTCAGTTGTATAAAGAAGAATTAACTTCAAATGGTCTGGGATAGGACTCGTACTCACATTCCAATACCACTCTATCGCCAATTTTAGGATTTTGGAGAGGATACACGGATCGAACTTTTGGTCCATCTTACAATAAATTGTTGATAATACATTTTTTTTTTTCCAATTATTATTATAGGAGGAAAATCATTGGATTATTTTCACTTTACGTACATATAGATGATTAAAATATAAAGCAAAAATTTATATATCATCCTCTATATAAACAATTTTTTAAAAAGTAATATCCGTATACAAGAGATTATTTAAGAGCCATCAGGGGTTCGCTGAAAACAATAATCTAAATGACATTCGTTTCTTTATGTAGAGAGATAATGTTAGAGATGTTAATTTGATGTTATGCTTCATTTATTTTATTTTATTTTATTCAATTCAATTCAATTCGATTCGATTCGATTCTATTTATATAATATTATATTAATCGTCTATTTGAATTCTTCGCTAACAATTAAAAAATATGCATATTTGCGGCTTTTTATTTTAATCAAAATCTGTAAACAATTAAAACCGACATGAGTGTCTTAGCAAATATACGCCATTTTTCCAGTGTCCATTCGAGAGAGAAAGAAAATTGGAGATAGCACAACACTGAAATATTTTTATTACCCCACCCCCTCAAGGATATATGGGTGGCAAATGGCTACCACCTCCTCTCCCCACCTCCCTTCAAATTGTTTATGTAGCCACAATTCGAGGAAAAAAAATATTTAATAACTCACGAAAGACGGACAAATAAAATTGCCTCCTACACGGATATGGGAAATCCGTAGACGCGCAAGATATCGAACCAGCGTGATTCCTATGCAGCTGGTCTATGACTAAATAATTATTGATAGTATAATCCGAACCAATGTCATTCGACAGAAGTTTCCCGGAAAGGGGAGACACGTGTTTTAACCTGCCAAACAAAAATACGATTAGATTATTGATAGGTGTCTTTAAAAAAATCTCTTCTTAAAATGATTTTTATAGATTTATTATTATTTAAAAAATAAATTTAGGTGTCCACTTTCATCTATTTCCTCTTCCTGTCCTTCATAAACCTGTGATTTTCTAGCATCGGGCCAGAATTTGTCGCAAACGAGTTTACTGAACAATCGATTTCCAAATTTTGTCTTCCTTCCACCATCTCTATATAAGGTTGCGTGATTCGCGTTTTTTGACCATCTTTCGTTAGCGTGATACTTACCTCACAAAATGGGAGTGCTTTATAATCATAAAATAATTAATTATTTTATCGCGAGGTAAATAAAAATTTAGAAAAATCCTGAATTAAATTTTAATCATTTAAGGCTTTAATCTAAATATCATAATATTAGAGAAAAAAATAATAAAAATAAAAAATATCCAAAATATATTTCAAGAAAATTTTTATTAATTTTAAAAAAATTAAAACAACGATTTTAATTAAAATTTTAAAACTTCTGAAAGTTTTAAAATTTTTTGATTTTTTTTGTAAAAGATTTTGTTGAAATATCCTTTAAAGCAAGATTAATATCTTAAGAGAGAAAAAAAAATATTCCTAGAGTTTCTCTTGGTGAAAAATTAAATGCGCTTAAAAACAAAAACAAAAATAAACATTCAAGCGCTGTTAATGGACCTATAGAATTTTATGGATAAATTATAATTAACAGCTGATCAAAGTCCAGGTATGAGTATGCTCATCAAAAGAAAGATATTTTTTATATGAAATGGATTATATTATAAAATTTTTTAAATTTATTATAGAGAATTAGTCTAATCGCTATAATAAATTTTAGAAATCTAATCTAATGCTCTATAATATTATCAGTATAAAATTATACATGTATAATATATTGCTATGCTCCAGGTAGCCAAAATTTATTTAGCTAAGGGGGGAAGGGAAACATTATCATAGGAGGATCTTCCCTGTTAATGAAATAATTTTCTTCAGGTTAAAAATGTTTTTTACAACCCAATAATGGCTATACCAAGATTGCATCAATGTTGTTATATGTTCGATTTGAGCCGATTTTTAAAATCGATTAACCCAATACTTGGCCAGCAAAATATGATCTAAGACTCGAAATTTCGTATGTCCGAACTTGTGTGCCATCGCATAAATAAGAGCGAACAAGAAAAGAGAGATACGTATTACGGGGAAAGCTACGAGTCTATTTTGTTTTAGAAAAAAGAAGGGACTTGTTTTTACGCAATTCGTTATTGATGCTTTCTTGCTTGATAGATTTTAAAAGTTAGGTGACGACAGTCAAACTTCTAAAAAGCAATAATTCTGAAAATATCAACAATTAGTAGTGTTGAAAGGGCTAACTCAATATTTTAGCCAGAAAAATATTGCCCTAAACCTAGAGATTTCCATAATATATGTCTGGATCTTTGTTCCTTCTATGAGCAAAATCTTCAGGCTTGTGTAATATTTTTCTGGATGAAATATTAAATTAGCCATTTTTAAAAATAAGTTCAAAACGAGCTGTGAAAGAAAGAAAGAAAGAAAGAAAGAAAGAAAGAAAGAAAAAAGGAAGAAAGAAAGAAAACACTAATAATTAGTAAATATTTAGTATATTTTATTGCTTCGACCTGTATAGCAGATTAATTTATAAAGAAAAACGTCCTCTTTGGCTAAATAATAAAAAAAAAATTCCATGTTTTTACTTACAAATTCCTCAATCAATCATTTCCAGCAGATAAAACAGAAAACCAGTTAAGAAATAAAGACTATAACGACACACTTTATCGATTTATATATTATATTTATAAATTTTAAATTTTCGATTCCAAGAACAATTATGTCTATAAATAGTATAAATCTAAATTCATTAAGGTTAACCTGTTCCCCGATTCAAATTATTTTTGAATCCTTATGATTTTGAGATCTTTATAAGATACTATTTCTTCTGTTTATTTAATAGATATAGGAAATATTAGATAAAATCTTATTATATTTTGAATAGAGTTATATATTTTCAAAAAATTTGATAGAAATCTGAATCTTTTAGGCGCAGTCCTAAGCATAAAGTGGCCAAACTTTAGAGAGCACTAATTATAAAGTTTAAGCCAATATGCACTGTCTGACTTTTATACATTTTTGTTTAGTTCATCAATTTGTTTCCGTGAGGATTATAATAAAAAGTTGTCGGAAAACATAAAAAAAATATTTCCTAAAAATTGATCTCAAGAATCAAGAAAGAACGAAAATTGTAGAAGAACCTAAAGTAATTATGATAAAAAACTTTAAAATTCTGGCTGAAGTCTTGATTAGTCAAATTGATATTTTCATTTACCCTCAGATCGAGCAATTATATAGCAAAAAAATATTAATACTAACAACACTGTTACATATGGAAACAGATAAGATCAGACGCTTTCAATTTTTTAAATATAATTTATATCAATTTTTTTTATTAAACGTGAAAATTAGATTTCAAAAAAAATTAAATGTGATTACTGTTCATATTATTATTCCTAGATTTCGATGCCTTCACGCACACGTTAAATAGAAGAGGAAGAAAGATGAAGGAGGTGGTTTATCAAGTTAAAATAAATGAAAGCAAATTTTTTATACCCAGATATCCATATCAAAGTATATAATCAAAACACAAAATTTATACTAATAATTAATGCTTTAAATGGGAGGGACAGAGGCTTGACCTTAACGCCCCCCCCCTCCACCTAGTTTGTGCCATCAACATCAGTAAAATTGTATAATAATGTTATTATTTTTTAATATATTTTTACTTTTCACTTCGACAAATACATCTACAGATCCTAATTCAAAGTGTTCGTCTTTTTGAGGAAAATTTATATCGTATAGAGCTAAATAGGTGCAAGTAAAACGATGGAAGGTTCCTGGAAAAGGTTTTTTAATCTTCTCGACGCGAAGATCAAAATCCATCGAGAAATTTCGAAGCGTTCTATTATCCAAGATCCACTTGGCCTTAGAAACGGATATTAAAATATTGTAACTAAAAAAAATCAAGATATTTTTCCTAACTAAATATATATTTTTTTCAGATATGTAAAAAATATTTATTCGTTTCAAATATTATATAAGGTAATTATAACTTAAAAAAATATTAATATATAAATGGCCACTAATAGAACATTAAAAAAAATTATAATAAATATTATTTTCTAAAAATTTAACCAATGGGGGGCATTTTTTTAAAAAAAAAGAATTATCATTATGAGTTTTTATTATCATAACTACAAGGTAATAATGAATCTTTGAATAAGTTAAAATTTAACTTATTACCTCAGAGCTTATTTTTTGTATAATCTTAAATGCTCTCGAGATGGATTTAGGGCTTCTTAACGCTTGAAAAGAGACTTGGCATCATTTCTCAAAAAAAACAGGAAGTCGATACTACCAATGGGATGAAGATGTTATTATCAGATATGTGTAAATAATTAGGTTCTACCTTATCTCAGCAATTCCAAGTGTATCGTAATTGCTATGAGAGGGGGTAAAAAATATCAATATAAGTAAAGTTATATCTATTAGGTCAAGTGCTGTTTTAATAATTGAAGAATCACGCGGTTCGAGCTATGTTAAATATATTAGCTCTTAGCCGACAGAAATTACGTCTTTCTTTCTTTCTTTCTTTCTTTCTTTCTTTCTTTCTTTCTTTCTTTCTTTCTTTCTTTCTTTCTTTCTTTCTTTCTTTCTTTCTTTCTTTCTTTCTTTCTTTCTTTCTTTCTTTCTTTCTTTCTTTCTTTCTTTCTTTCTTTCTTTCTTTCTTTCTTTCTTTCTTTCTTTCTTTCTTTCTTTCTTTCTTTCTTTCTTTCTTTCTTTCTTTCTTTCTTTCTTTATAAGAGTAAATAGGCCTAGGATGGGAGGATAGTATTTTATTCTGGAATAATATTCACATTTTTTCTATTATTTAAATGATACATTTAATCGTTGAAAACTAAGGGTGCTAATGTCAAGCTGTGATAATTAAAGGATAAGAAGGACATTATGAATGCATAAATATTGTCAATTTTAATTTTACTAAGCTACCCTATAGATTCTAGTTGATCCCATAGTTTCTCGGAATTTGAGCTTTAGTTCCAGGTCTTCCCCCTCGTTCACCGACAAATTGTAACTCAGGGGTACAGGCTTATCTAAATTTCGTCGAATAATCCAAATATAAATGGTGATTAGATTATAAAATAATTTAAAAAAGTTACAAATTTTTTTTTGGGGGGGGGGGGGGGGGGGGGGGGGAAGGTGGGTAGGAACTTTGCATATTTATAACATATGTTATTAGGCTCGTCCTGCTTTCGATAATCAGTAATATTGAAATAAATGACGAATGATATCACCATACCAAAATTAAACTAAACAACGTCCAAGGTTTTATAAAAAAAATATATTATCCTACTTCTTACCAGAGACCTTCATGGACCGGGTCAGCCCGCGGCACGTAGGCCCATACCCGGCACGTTGGGCCTCCCACGGACCGGTAATTTCTAGCGGGCCTGGGTCGGGCCTGGATTTTTTTTTTAATGGACTTGGGCTAGGCTTGGGCCTAAAATTATTAAATTTAAATTTAGATTATTTAAAACAGTTTCTAATTTAAAGAAATATTGTCCCTTTTTCTTCTAATAATAATAAATTTCAGCATTGTAAACAAAATGATTGCCTAAATATATTTAAATATTGTTTATTTTCAGTAAATACTTTGACCGGGTTTGGGAAATTTTTTTGAAACTTATCACGGGCTTGGACCGGTCTTGAGAATTTTTTTTTAACATTAGATATGGGTCGGGCCGGGCTTGGACCTAAATATTTTTTATTGCGGGCCTGGGCCGGGCTTGGTCAAAAAATTAAGGCCCATCATGAAGGTCTCTGCTTCTTGCCTCATATCTCTAAAATTTTGAACCTGCCTTAAATCTCTTCAAATGGAATTGGTTTCAGAAAATATTTATCTCACCGTATATTAAACCCGTGTCTTCCTCAGTAGAGGTCTCTAACCATCTAAAATTTTCTTGAAAACTTTCGTCTCAGACTTTCCAATATCGTTACACCAAATATATCGTTACTTATTTTATTTTTTTCGAAAACTAAATCTTACGTATAACCTGATACAAAATTAACGAATACAAATTTCTAAGAACATCGTTAAAATAGTTGTCAAATTTTTATGAGACATCTTAGAAAACTAGGTATAATCTTTTTTACGTTCTTTCTTCATGCATTCTCATATTCATCCTAACTTACATAGCCAATTTATTTTCTTGCGAAACATTATGTTTGTCCTGCAAGCAGGGATATCCGTACAATTAACGAACTTGTCTACCGATGGAAGCTTCAGATCATTCAATTGAATCACAAAGGGAAGACAACTCAAAATCCAATAATCTAATTTTTTTGAATTCGATAATCGCAGCTTTACTTGTTCGAATTCGTAGTTTGATAGGTAAGCGTCACCTTCCTTAGCCTTTGTACAATTTTGGATAATAATTATGCATCACTATAAATTTACGTGAAAACGCATATTGACTGATTTAAGATATTTCTATATAAATGTATCTAGATACGCTAACAGATACTACGTCTGTTTTCAGATACGATATCTGGATTCAATCCAAATTTTTTGAATTAGTATACATTTTATTATTTATTACAACTTATAGGCGCTTGAAAGTTAAAATACCGTATGATCCAATTTTACGTCGTTTATCCAAAATACCTTTTTGACATTAGTTTGGGTGTGACACGAAAAATAGTAAACAGGGTTTTCCCATTTTTTCGGAGTAATCGTTTCTTCAAGTTTAGGGGTCTCTACTTGGTAGTGAACGAATTTATGATCCGATTCATATAAAGCTCTAACAGATGTTTGGCTAGAAAAATGGAAGTCCTCCATTATTATATCTATTTTGCAAGTTCCCTCTATAATATTTAATATAATTTTTTTAAAAAAATAAATGATTTATATTAGTTGAGCTTTACTCTAGCGGCATTGGTTTGGCTAAGAGATGGGAATGAAGGGGTAAAGTTCAGTCAGCACTGAGTAGGGGGAGGGGGTTAGGTTAGGTGATGCTTGGACTGTTAGATTAAGGGAATAAGTTATTAAAACAAATTCATTCTAAGATTTAATTTCGTGTAGTTAGTAAATTAATAAAATAATTTGTTGGTTTTAAACCATCATTTAATTATGTGTATCAAAAGGTAATCTATTACCTAAAGTTATTTTTTTTTGGCTCATTATAAGGGATTATAAATTAAAATTTTATCAACAAAATACATACGATTTAATTGGCCAAATAAAAATTTGTGAGATTCTCTTGGAAACAGGCCTGAGGTCAAATTTAAAACGTTTTTGGCCACGCATGCGTACCATCCATTATCGGAACAAATATGGTAGTAGGGAAGCGTATTACCATAGCTTATAATCTGCGAAGTTCTCATGTCGATCCAATATACCTTGAATGTTTACCATATTTTTTTTTAAACTGTTGAGAATATATCCAATATTAAGTCGCATAAATATTTATATTAATTTGATAAATTAATTAAATCAACAATAATAACATGCATGTGTATCAGATAAACTTCCAGTTAAAAAATCCTCTCTATCTGATTTTGTCAAAAAAAATAAATTAGTAATAATTTTTTTTAAACATTAACTACATGGTTAATTTATTAGACAAATATTACATTATCGCTTTACGGGAAAAAAGATATCAGCTTTGAGCGCTGCCTTATTTGATTTTTTTTTCCTCTAAAGATTCAGCCAAACTTGAAGCCAATCCTCACTAATAAGAAGACTTAAAGATAGAAATTCGGGCCGCAATTAAAAATATAATTGGAGAAACCAGGACTAGTCGACGCCATTGTTATCAAACATCTGAAAAATGTTTGTCGTTTTCGAAATTTTTAAATATCACGAGATAAGCCTCTTGAATAAAAGTACAAAAAATGATAAAATAGAACATTGTCCTAATTTTTTAAAGAAATGACATATAAAATTTTTAAAGTGAATTATTTTATTATATTTTATTTTTGACCTTAATCAGCATTTTTAATACTTAAAAGTTTTTTTATTATAATGCTTATATATAAATGTAATGCATTTATGTAATAATAAAATCGAATTAAATTCATATACCTACACATAAGAATACATTGTTTAAAAATAAAAAGTACAAAATTTATATATAGAAAAATAAACAAATTCCAAATTAAATAATATAAAGGTGAAATATAGTGTAAAATGATAAGAATAAGGAAGAAAGAGAAAGTCTAACTAAGATCTGTTGAGAGAAGACTGCCATTGAAACTTTGATAATAAGCTTTAAAGGATATCTATAACAAGTCTCTGTTTGAGGAAGATGTCTTTTCGAGGATCATAAATATACTTGGGGATGTGAGATCCGAAATCTTTGAAAAAAAGATAATGCAAGCTTACTATGGATGTTAAGGTAATAGATATTATTGGAATAAAAATGTGATCTTCTCATATTTCCGAATATTTAGAAATTTTAAACTATTCTTTTTGCTCGAGTTTATAGTTTGGCTGTATAAGACTGATGAATCTATACCAGTATAGTCGTAAACCAAAAAATGGTCCATTTCTATGAGATCAGGGTGATTCCGCCAGGCCGCTTTCAATGGTGGTTCAAGTATAGCTGGTATCAGAGCGAATTTTAATGCTCGCTGGATCAAGAAATTGCATTGGATGTGCCTGAGGATTCGCCTTTGCGTGATCTGCAATGTAAGCTGTGTCTTTCTTTGCTGTCTATGGGGATTCTGCAGCCAGAGCAGAAATGAAGATGTGTTATTTAACATTTAGTTAGATTCCTATTGCAGAGGTTAGCTTATTGTTGGTTAATTGGAGTTAAAAAAATTTTTGGAAGGAATGACTTCCAAAAATTCATTATATAAGTGAAAAGAAAACGATCTTTCGGGAGAGTAATTTATAATAGGTATTCAACGCAGCATGCTATGCTACGACACCAGTCCCAATCCTTCTGTCTAATGAATTCGGGCAATGGGACATCATCAACGCCGGTCCTCCATAGCAAAAATAGCATCATCTAACGAAAAGTCATTTATTGAGGTGTGGGAAATGATTATGGTTTCGAAAGTAGGGTGCTCAAAATAAAGGCAATAAAGCAAGATTGGTGGGAGATAATCCTGTTGCATTAACATTTAGTAGAATTGATTTAAATCTAAAATATTGACTGTTGAATTCTTATTTTATTTTTATAATATGCCATTTAGCTTGCCTTCTGCCGGATTTTACCAGGCCTTCGGCCGGGTCATATGTTTCATCTATTCTATTAAAATATTCATAATGCAATTCTCGTATCAAGATTTTTTTTAGCTTTTATTTAATAATTCACCCTTATAGATATTTAAAAAAGAAATAAAGGTTATCATAACCCAATATTATACAATATATTTAATAAATTTTAAATGTAAAATGTAAAATTGAAATAAAGTTTAAGTAGTGTATTTTTTTTTTTAAAAAATTTGTTTAAAAACTAGACTCAGCTTAGAAAATTCTCATACAATATAAGTAAAAAAAATTTTTTTTTTTTATTGAAATACTAATTGCAGTGTGTATAGAATATTGACTAGAAATTAAAAATAAGTTTTTATAACTTCTTATCAAATACAATATTATATAAAAAATCTATTAAATTTTTTAATTATAATGTGTTTTTTTTAATTTCCGTTGAGAATTTGCCAATTCATTTGTCATAGGAAACCATATCTCAGTGAAACCACTTAAGTAAAAAGGTCCTTTCATTCGTACATGTTGTAACAGGCCAACATTTGAGAATATAAAACAGCTTCAAAATATTTGGAAATTGAGCCAAAATTTCTTTACACCTATTGGCACATCAACAGCTCACTCAGGCAAAATGAGCAAACGTAGTTAATATTTATACCATAAATTTACTGGGATTAAATTGATTTCCGTATCAATATAATAAGAGTAAAAATTTTGCTAAATATTTTATTTTACCAAGTGGCATCAAAAAACGTGGAAGGGTCTTTGGTTAATAAAATTTGACGTGTTTAAAACTTGTTTATTTTATCTATAAAGCAAAAGTGTCCAAGAATGAGATGAAAGTTGATCATTTATAATATTCTTCAATGGAATCAACATTTATATTGCACCTTAATAATTAGACAGGCTCGAGTATAGTTTTAATTAATTACATATACCAATATAACTGTCATAAAAACATATAATTGAATTAGACCATTTTCAACCGGTCAAATAACGGTCAATTGACCGTATCCATTTGACCGGTTAAATAACCAACCCTATAAACAAATGTATATTTTTAAAAAAAAAATCTTGCCAATATCTGACCGTAAATAAGTGTTCAAGCTTAGTATTGTAATATGATTAGACCTTTCTCTTTTATTCTCTCGAAACACCATCCCTTCATTTAAATTTTATTTAATTAATAAATATCAATAGAATGTTATCGCAAGATATATATTATTAAAACAAAATTTAATATAGTGAATTTTGTCAAATGCGTCCCTGAGAAAACCTTAATTAGTAATTAGATATTTTGCACTAAACGAAATCTATTAAATACTGAGTTAGAATTGAAATATTTTTAAGACTTAAATATATACCTCTGTTGGACGCGGGTTACTAGCGGTGCCGCACAGCATGTCTTTATAATCTCCTACATCAGTGCCGACAAAAATTATTTCAGGTTCATCTAATATTTAAAAAAAACAATATAATAATTCATTTTTTAAAAATAGAAGTATCATTGAGGGACATTACTAATCGATGGAAAAAAAATCCAAAAATAACGCATAAAAATGTCAACTAATGCTAAAAGCGTGAAAAAAAAACTCAAAATATGCAAAAAGCGTGAAAAAAAACTCAAAATATGCAAAAAGCAAAAAAGCACTCTTTCTCTCTTTCTTTCTTTCTTCCTTTCTCTCTTTCTTTCTTTCTTCCTTTCTTTCTTTCTTTCTTTCTTTCTTTCTTTCTTTCTTTCTTTCTTTCTTTCTTTCTTTCTTTCTTTCTTTCTTTCTTTCTTTCTTTCTTTCTTTCTTTCTTTCTTTCTTTCTTTCTTTCTTTCTTTCTTTCTTTCTTTCTTTCTTTCTTTCTTTCTTTCTTTCTTTCTTTCTTTCTTTCTTTCTTTCTTTCTTTCTTTCTTTCTTTCTTTCTTTCTTTCTTTCTTTCTTTCTTTCTTTCTTTCTTTCTTTCTTTCTTTCTTTCTTTCTTTCTTTCTTTCTTTCTTTCTTTCTTTCTTTCTTTCTTTCTTTCTTTCTTTCTTCCTTCTTTCTTTCTTTCTTTCTTTCTTTCTTTCTTTCTTTCTTTCTTTCTTTCTTTCTTTCTTTCTTTCTTTCTTTCTTTCTTTCTTTCTTTCTTTCTTTCTTTCTTTCTTTCTTTCTTTCTTTCTTTCTTTCTTTCTTTCTTTCTTTCTTTCTTTCTTTCTTTCTTTCTTTCTTTCTTTCTTTCTTTCTTTCTTTCTTTCTTTCTTTCTTTCTTTCTTTCTTTCTTTCTTTCTTTCTTTCCAGAGTTGTTAATCTAGATATAAAAATGTGTTATCTGTATCTAGATAAATTTTTGATTAAAGTATCTGTATCTAGATATTGTTTTAGAGGTATCTGTATCTGTTTTTAGATACTTTTTAAGATACATTTTGATATACTTTTATTTAACGCTTTTTTATATTATAAATAAAACTACTTGAGTGTAAAATATATTTTATTTCATATGAGCATATAAATTAATATTAATATATTTATTAAAAAATTAAATATATATGTAAAATATTAAAACTTATATATAAAAAAGAATATATAAATATTAATTAAATATTATGTCCGAGTTATCAATAACAAGCAAATTCTGATATTACAATCCATCTCAAGGAATTTGCCATTTATAATTGCAATGGAATTGGTATTTTATTTTATTCTATTATATTAATTTTTAAGATTAATATTGATGACGAAATTCTTCCATAACCAATTTATAGACCATATTTTAAAATAATATCTTAAAATAAAGAAAACAAATCTCTGTTAGTAAAATGTTTGCCATGTCCAAAAAATATTAAAATTTCAGTTAGCAGTACCTCAACTTGCAACATTGTAAAACGTTTAAGGATATAGATACAATAAATGTTTACAATTTTAATTTTAAATTTTAAGAGAAAACATCAACTCTTAATCCAAATATAAAAGGGGAAGGAGAAATAATTTATTAAAGAAAATATTGGACTAGGCTCATCGTCCATTGATTTTTTTTTTCAAGAGACCTCAGACTTTAACCCAAACCATTTTAGATGATTTAATATCTGATTTTATTATAGATAGCATTCAGATTTTCAATTGTTGCAAATCCATCATTTATAAAAATGATCAAAACATTAGCTCCACAAAAAAATATAATTTGCAGACAGACAGTGGTTGCTAGAATTTCCCAAAGATTGGAGAATAAAAGAAAGAAATCATTAAAAGTCTAATAGAACCATGGTTAATATGCACAACAGCAGATTGTTGTAGTGTTTATCGCCATTATTAAATTGAAAAATTTAAAACCAATGAACCTGAAATTTTGTTTACCACTCTTAAATACCTTACTTAAAGGAATTGAAGATAGGTAAATTAATAATAAATTAATCAGTATTTAATAATTCTAGGTTTATTGGGACAATTTTTAAAGATGAAAATATTTTGGCAACTATGATTCATCCTTTTTTTAAACTAGATTGGACATGGTTGCAAATGGATGAAAATTTTAATTTAAAAAAAACAATTAATACAAAGATTAGTTGAGGAATTATCAAAGTCTTCAAATGAGTGCAAATTAACCAAAAAACCAATAATTTAATATCCGATTTTTTTCAGTATCCCACAGCAGGAGGTATGATTGTTAATAATTTAAATTCTGATAATTAACAAATTTTAAATAGTTTTTTCAAAAATGAATGCTGAGATTTTGTATTTTTAAACAATATCCTGATATAAAAATGTTATTCATTAAATATAACACCACAAACCCTTCCAGCGCTCCTGTTGAAAGACTTTTTAGTTTAGCTAAAAATGTCTTTAGAGATAAACGAGGATGTCTTAAACCAAAATTTTAAAAATATTTTATTACTGAAATCTAATAATTATTTATAATCATTTAATCTTATATTATTTTATTAATTATATAATAATTATTTATATTAATCATATATTATATTAATATCTAAAAATCATTATTTTAGTTATATTTTGATAAATGTGATATCGAGTCAATAAATTTTTTAGATTATTTCATGAATTTTCACAATAGAATCCTAATTTAGGTTTATTCAAACCTTATCTAAGAGTATAACAAACAATGTAACTGTATCTAGATAACTTTTTAGAAGCTGTATCTGTATCTAGATAAATTTTTAGACTATGTATCTGTATCTAGATCCGTTTAAAAAGTATCTTATAACAACTCTCTTTTTTTCTTTCTAAAGAAAACAAAGTGAAATAAATCAAATTCGTTGTCGCAAAAAGAAGGCGTAAGAGGAGCCCTCAAAATGAACTAAAAATATGTAAAGAGCAAGAAAAATTTGAAATTAGGCAAAAAAAAATAGGTAACATATCTATAAATTAGACAAAAACACGCTTAAATCACGCTAAATTACGCCTCACAAAAGTGACAATTGTAATAATCGTCATATTAAAAAATTCTTATTTTTGTGAATCATATATGGGTTTTGGAGTAAGATTATGAATATGAAAACTGGAATGCTTTCATCCCTTATTCCCCAAAAGTTAAAAAATATACTAAAAAGCTAAGAATTTTTTGT